TTCTTGGGGTAAGACAGGTGAAGCCATAACAACCACTGGAGATTGATTAATGTAAAAAAGAAGGATCTGAGAGGAGGAAATACCCCGAGGTTTGGGATGTGGGCACAGCAGAGCTTGGCTCAGCCTTCCCCCACACTGGCTGGCAGAGAATGGGAATTTTCTTTCTCCTTTAATATTTCGTACTTTAAATTCCCTGATCCTTCTGTCTGCTCTCCCCAGGGCAAAGGGAGAAGCCAGGGAAGACCACGGAGATCTCTCCAGCCAAGGGCCGAGGTCTGGGGCTCACCCCAGGAGCTCCAGCTGGGGGCAGTGCAGAAACTTAATATAAAAGTATATTCTTCTTAATATAAAAAACATTATTCTACCCAAGGCCATCAAATCACTTCCAAAAAACAAGGATCCAAAAGGATAAGCACAGGGAGGTAACTGAGGTTTCAAAGAGAGCCAGAATCCTGGGGGCTGTGACTGCTTCATTTCCCTTCCCTCAGGGCTTTTGAAGAAGCTTGGATAAAAAGCAGTCACAAAGTAGGGGGAAAAGGGATATTTAAAAGTGGGAAAAAGCCATGACTAGGAGGGGAAAAATGCCACAGTCCCTGTGAGTGTGCAGCAGGAGGGATGTGCAGCCCCAGGAACTGTCTGCTCCTCTCTGCCCCAATTCCCTGCAGAACTAAAATGAAAAAAATTGTGGATTTATCAGAGCCATGGTCTCCCCTGCACACCAGCTCCTCCAGCTTCCTAAGGATCTGAAATGTTTCTTGGGGATTACTTGTCTTCTGGTGGAATGGGGAATGTCCCAGCCCTGATTCTTCATTGTCCCAGTCTGCAAAGGCTCTTTGTTTGAGCGGTGCATTCCCTTTGTACTGGGAAAATGAATGTAGGAGGAGAAGGGAGTGAAGCAATCAAGGCAAAATTCATGGTCAGGGAAAATCCTGCCCCCCCTTCCCAGCTGAGGGTAAAAAGCCAAGGTTTCATTGCAGCCAGTTTTTCCCAAGTTCCTCTGAAAGCAAAAATCTGGGAAAACTGGGGAGGGGAAAAAAAAAAATCCCTTTTCTCAGACCAGCCAGGAGATCCCAGGAGATCCCAGCAGACCTGAGGACAAGGTGATCATTTAAGGACATGGCATCCCATGACATCCTATTCCTCCTGAAATTATCCATGGAAAACTTGCTGCTTTTCAGGAGCAGCTTGCCCTGTCTGAAGTTATCCAGGAAATGTTAAACAGGTTCAGTGTCAGTGGCAGAAACTGTCCTGGGATGGGCAGCAGAACCCGAGCTGCCACACCTGCTTGAGGTCACCTTGCTGTGCCTCAGGGGTGACACCAAGGAGGACTTTGCTAGAGCAGTGATTTCCCATTCCATATTCCACATTCCATTTTCCATAGTCCATATTCTATGTTCCATATTCCACTTTCCCCATTCCATATTCTACATTCTGTATATCGCATTCCATATTCCACTTTTCACATTCCACATTCCATTTTCCATATTCCATATTCCACATTCCACTTTCCACATTCCATTTTCCATATTCCATATTCCACATTCCACTTTCCACATTCCAATTTCCACATTCCATATTCCATATATCACATTCCATAGTCCACATTCCACTTTCCACATTCCATAATCCATATTCCACATCCCACTTTTCACATTCCACATTCTATATTCCACATTCCACATTCCATATATCACATTCTATATTCTACTTTCCATATTCCACATTCCACATGTCACACTCCATATTCCACATTCCATATTCCCAAAGCAATCCATTGGGATAAATTTTGGTGAGGTTTTTTGTAGGACAATGGCACTTTCTAGAGGAAGGACATTCCACACTCCACTTTCCATATTCCATATCCCACTTTCCATATTCCACATGTCACACTCCATATTCCATATTCCACATTCCATATTTCATATAGCATATTCCATATTCCACATTCCACACATCACACTCCATATTCCATATTTCATATTCCATATTCCACATTCCATATATCATATTCCATATTCCACATTTCACACATTACACTCCATATTCCATATTTCATATTCCACATTCCACGTTCCATATTCCATATATCATATTCCATATTCCACACATCACACTCCATATTCCATATTCCATATTCCACATTCCACATTCCACATTTCATATTCCACATTCCACACATCACACTCCATATTCCATATTTCATATTCCATATTCCATATATCACATTCCATATTCCACATTCCATATTTCATATAGCATATTCCATATTCCACATTCCACACATTATACCCCATATTCCATATTTCATATTCCGTATTCCACATTTCATATTCCACATTCCATATATCACATTCCATATTCTATATATCATATTCCATAGTCCAATTCCACACATTACACTCCATGTTTCATATTCCACATTCCACATTTCATATTCCACATTCCATATATCACATTCCATATTCCACATTCCATATTCCACTTTCCACATTTCATATATCATACTCCATATTCCACATTCCACATTCCACATTCCACATTCCATATATCATACTCCATATTCCACATTCCACATTCCACATTCCATATATCACATTCCATATTCCACATTCCACATTTTCATATTCCACATTCCACATTCCATATATCATACTCCATATTCCGTATTCCAGCACAGCACAAGCTGAGCTCTGAGCTGGACTTTGGGGTGATTTCTGGGCTCCTTGGCCCATCCCAGCCTCCCTCCAGGGCAGCTCTGCACTCTGGGCTCAGGGCTGGACAGGCTGCTGGGTGCTCCTAAGCCAACCCCACACCCCCAGCACAAGCAATAATCCTGTTTTTTTCTTGGAAAAGGGATGCAGCCCCTCCCTGCCAGCTCCCTGCAGTGCCCAGGGCTGCCTTACCCCCTTGTCGATGGTGTTGGTTTGGCAGATGGTGCCCTCAGCTGCCGGGATGCTGTTGGTGATGCAGCGGTTGCTTTTGCTCAGACACCACAGCTCGCTGCAGACTTCCTGCAGAGAGGGAGATTTGGGGGGGACACGGGGGCAGGGAGGAGGGGAGAGACAAGGAAACAAAACCCAGATTAGGATTTGCTTGTGCCAGGGGCAGTGTCACGCCTGGCAGGCACCAAGGGCACGGGGACATGGGGACATCGAGTGTCTTCAGCATGGTGGGGACAACGAGAGATCAAAGCCTGCCAGGTGCTGCCAGCTGCAGCCACCCCAAGGCCACCAAAGGTTAGTCTGCTCACTGCACTGGGTGACACTGAGGACTCCAGATCTCCTTCCAGAAGGTTTCCTGAGCTTCAGCCCATTCTGACCTCTCAGAGCTCCAGCAAACAAAAAAATCTTCCCTTGGCTGTCCCAGCACCCACCCAAAAGTGAAATCAGGAAGTCCAGGCCCTTCCCAGCTCCTGTGGCACTCTATCCCCCAGGCTGGACTTCAGCAAGGCAACCCCTAAACTCTCATTTCCTGAGTTTTCTGCCTGCTCCCCCTTTCAGGGTTTTCCTGGGCTCAAAGACGAGGGGATGGCAGTGAGGTGGTGGGAGGGGGGGTTGAGGTGGGCAGCAACATCCAGCACATCCCTCACCTCACCTGGGACAAAGACTTTTCTCTGCCTGAGTTTATATGAGCAGCACAATGATTTATAGAGAGGATTATGGAAAATATATCTTTGTACAAAGAGAGGGGAGCCTGGATGGGCAGGACCTGCAGCAGCCAAGGAAGAGGCAAGAAGTTTCTTGCCATGGGATTAATCTGACCCAAACTGAGCTGGGATCAATACTTATTGATGGGACATCCCCTCCTGTGTGCTCTGCCAGGGAAGCACAGCATGGAGCTCACCAGGAGCTCACCAGTGCCCCTGGTTTGGAGCAGCACAGTGATGTGTGTGGGAATCAGAAAAACAGAAACTTCCACAGACACTGAGGGATTTGATCTGCAGCTTTGGAAGAAGCTGGGATTGATGTACAAATACAATACACAGATATTAAGCAGAAAAATCATGAACTTATGTTCCTATAGTTGTAAGTAAGAATATGCTCTAATGAGGTGGGAAACTGTATAGGTAAGATGGTGAAGGGTTTGTAATATAGGAAACTGTATTGAGAAGATGGTGAAAGGTTTATAATGTAGTAGATGTATATGTTATAATGTAGATGGTGAAGGGTTTATAAATTAAACTTCCACAGACACAGGAGGGTTTGATCTGCAGCTCTGGAAGAAGCTGTGATTGATGTAAAAATAAAATACACAGATATTAAGCAGAAAAATCATAAACTTATGTTCCTATAGTTGTAAGTAAGAATATGCTTTAAGTAAGTGAGAAACTGCATTGGTAATATGGGGAAGGGTTTATAATGTAGGAAACTGTATTGATAAGGTGGTGAAGTATTTCTAATATAGGAAACTGTATTGATAAGGTGGTGAAGCGTTTATAATGTAGGATAACATGTTGATAAGATGATGAAGGGTTTATAAGGTAGGAAACTGTATTGATAAGATGGTGAAGGGTTTATAAGGGTGTGGTTGTATAGAACAAAAGTTATAATATATATGTGTGCGAGTGAGACAGAAGCCATTGGGCAAAAATATTCACAGTGCAGTAGAAGTAGGTGAAGATGATAGGTTAGAAAAGCAAAATAAATGCTGTGGCAACTGTCTGTTGGTTTAGGAAGTTCTATATTGCCTTGTAAGAAAAAAACTTGTGACTTTGAGCTATGACCAACTGCCTGCTCCTCTGAAATCTCAGGCCTCTGACACCGATGTTCATCTGAGCAACAAATCGCTCTTAGCTTGAAACTAGTCCCATCCCTTCATTTCTAACGGCGACAATGGCAGATGTGGGCAGCGGGGACAGCCCCATGGACCCTTCCTCCCCCACATGCCCCCTCCTCCAGCCCTGGAACCGATAGTAAAGCAGGAAGGCTCTCTACCCCGTATTTACACTGGCGGGATTTGACTCCGTACTGGAAGCGGCACTGCTCGTCGGCGTCGTAGGCCTGGCCCGGGGCCACCGTGGGGTAGATGAAATCTTGCTTGGGAGGAGCGTTGTTCAGGCACAATCCCATCCCCGAGCTGAAAGCACAGAGGGACAATCAGAGCTGAGAAAGGGTGAGGGGAGAGAGAGCTCAGGAGGGGAGGGATCAGCCGCTGCCGCTGGCGGCTCTGCTGAGGGGATAAATCTGGGTCTGCTCTGGGTGAGAGAAAGTGCTCTGAAATCCTTCCCAGGCTGGGAAACACATCCTGGTTCCAAGGTCACTTTGGAAGTGTTGATCTGAGGGTTCATAGATCATGGAATATCCTGAGTTTGGAGAGACCCTCGGGGATCATCAGTCCCCTGCCCAGACCCCCCAACAGCCCCACCCTGAGCAGCCCTGAGAGCGCTGTCCAAACGCTCCTGCAGCTCTGGCAGCCTCGGGGCCGGGACCATTCCCTGGGGAGCCTGGGCAGTGCCAGCACCCTCGGGGGGAAGAACCTTTCCCTGAGCTCCATGCCAAGGCCTGGCACAGCTCCAGCTGCTCTCCAGGCTGTTGCCAGCCCCTGGCAGTCCCCGTGGTGTGCCCAGCACCCTCAGGTGGGCACTGGGTGGGCAGAGGGGCTGCTCCCCCACCTGCTGTGAAGCCCCAGCCTCCCCTCCAAGCCTGACCTCCTGCTTGCCAGACCTTTGTAGGAACATCCAAATTCTGCCAGAAATGCCTTTCCCTCCCTCCCCTTTCCTCACTGCTCTCTGAGCACCCCCTAAATCAAATCCGCTGTCATCACCCCCAGCCCCAAATCCTGCACACACCACATCCCACTGGAGGCTCCTGGAGCCTGGAGTGGCCACCACAGACCACGAGGAAAGGGGATGAACTCTCCATCCTCCTCCAGCCCTGCCAGGAGCTTGGGGTCAGCAGAGGACGAGGCTGTGCCACGTGCCTCGCTGCCTGCACGGCCAGCGGGCACCAGGCCAGGCTGTGGCCAAGCCACAGCTGCCAGATGTGGGATTTGGCCAAGCCACAGCTGCCAGATGTGGGATTTGCTGCTGAGCCACGAGGTTTGGTGGCAGGACAGAGGGAGCCCCTTGGGGAGGAGCCATGTCTGCTCCTCTTGCTGCCTTACAGAAGCTGAGCTCTGCTGCTCACACTTGTCCTGGCTTGTAAGATCAGCATGTATTCTATTGCCATCTGTTGGAGGTGGGGCAGTTTTCTTATCTCTTCCAAGAACAATGTCTCCCTAGGGGAGATATCTTCTGTTAATAGACCATTGAATGACTCACTGCATGACCGGTAAAGTTCCATCATCCCAGTGTGAGATGCTCCACCCAGAGGGAGGAGCCAAGCATTCCTGCCTACATAAAATCAGCACTTTTTTGGGACACTGGGCATCCCCCTTTGCTGGATTCCCAGAGGAGCAGCTCTCTTCTCTACTGGATTCCCAGAGAAAGACCAGGCCCATCTACTCCATCACCAGACCTTCAGAGAAAACTCCACCCTTCTAGAGATCACCACTTCAGCAGCATTTCATCTGCCCCTCCAGGAGGAGCAACCACCATTTAACTGGACTACTACCAACACCCTGACTCCTCAGGCTGTCAGCTTTCTCACTCCATCACTAGTTTCGTTTGTACTAATTACATTTTTAAAATTATTTTTATTTAGTTTTTCTCCTAGTAAAGAACTGTTATTCCCATTCCCATATCTTTGCCTGAGAGCCTTTTTTAAAATTGTGGTAATTCGGAGGGAGCGGGTTTGCCTTTTCCATTTCACAGAAGGCTTTTGCCTTCCTTCACAGACTTCTGTCTTTTCAAACCAAGACAACACTCTCTGGGGGCTTCCCTCCATGCTGACCCCACACTTGTGCTGCTTCCAGTCATCCCTCAAGCCCTGCCCAGTCCTTCCTTTAGGAAGTGCCGTTGTCCTACAAAAAAACCTCACCAAAATGGATCCTGATGGATGGCTTTGGGACGGAAAGTCCTACAAAAATCCTCACGAAAATGGATTTTGATGCATGGCTTTGGGATGCAAAGTCCTACGAAAAAAAAACCTCACGAAAATGGATCCCATTGGATGGCTTTGGGATGCAAAGTCCTACAAAAAACCTCACGAAAATGGATCCCATTGGATGGCTTTGGGATGGAAAGTCCTACAAAATAAACCTCACCAAAATGGATTTTGATGGATGGCTTTGGGATGGAAAGCCAGAGGCTGGCAGTACCTTGCTCAAGGGTTTGATTCAGGCATGGTGACAGCCTCCAAATGCTGGATTCAGGAGCTTAAATTATGGAATGGTTTGGGTTGGGAGGTGTTGGAATCCTGGATGCAGAAAATTAAAAAGTTTCTGAGCTAAAAAGCACAGACTCGCAAAAAGCCATAACATTTGACCTAAGGCTATAGAGAAGACTTCCAAAATTAATTAATAGCACTAAAATTACAAGTGTGTAGTTAATTAAAAGTGTGTAATATCACAAAGTAGAAAACTTAGAGTTTAACGTTTTAGAATATAAAAATAAATATGGAACAAAACAGAGGTTTTAAAGCAAAAGCAAGTTGTTCTTTTTCACCTTCTTCTTCCTTCCTCTTCATGGGTTTGGGTGGTATTTTGTAATTAGACTAAAAATTCCACATTATGAGCTTCAAAGAATCAGTTACTAAGTTAAAAAATAAAATAACCTAAGTATCATTTCTAAGTAGTTTAGTTTAATTTAACATTAAAAGGCCTTAAAACTATATATCAAAGGCCATTTTTGTACTATTTTCCTACATACAAAGTCTAGTGCAAACGAGATACTAAAGTTTTGAGAAGATAACAATAAACAAGAAGCTAAAAACCAAAGAAGTCCAATGTGTTTCTCATCCCTAACACAAAACTACTCCAAGAGGGATTCCCCCATTAGGGAAAGCTCAAAATAAGACCAAGAAACCAATAGGGAGGGACCTAAAAAATCATCTTATTCCATGGCAGGGACACCTCCCACTGTCCCAGGCTGCTCCCAGCCCTGTCCAACCTGGCCTTGGGCACTGCCAGGGATCCAGGGGCAGCCACAGCTGCTCTGGGCACCCTGTGCCAGGGCCTGCCCACCCTCACAACAAAGAAATTCCTCCTAATATCCAATTTAAACTGCTTTTTTATAGTTTGCATCCATCCCCCTTTCCCTGCCCCTTCTCCCGAATCCTAAAAGTGCTTTGTAAGAAAAAGAAACACAAAATCTTTGCCCTGCTTTGCTCATTGACACAGAAAACTCCTCCTCACAGCCTGGAGAAAGCACCTGCACCACACAGACCCAGCCCAGTCCCCAGCACAGCAACCCTGCTCTGCAGTTCCTGGCTGGACTTCAGAACCTGCCAAATGCCCCCAGGGGGACTGATCTATTTGTGAAGTTTCTGGGTGTGGGAATAATAAATAAACAAAAAATTATAATTATTAATTGATTATAAGTATATAAATATCATTATTTCTAAATATATTCTATTCTATTCTATTCTATTCTATTCTACTATATTATATTCTACTATATTATATTATACTATATTATATTATACTATATTATATATAGTATATTATTTGTAAACATTTGTGTATTTATAACAATAAATAACTATATAAAATATATTAATATTATATAAATTTATTATATATAATTTTTATAATGTGTATTTATAATTTATATAAATAAATATAGTTATTTATATATATTTTATATATAAAAATTATTATATTAATATATTTATTTATAATTAAATATATTAATATATTTACAAATAACTATATAATATATATAATGTAGTATAATTAGAATATATATGGCATTATATAATATATATTATATTATATACTATACTATATATTTACTATGCATATGCTATAGTGTACATATACTATATATAGTATAATATATATAATATAATACCATTATAAAATATATAATATATAATATATATTTTACAATATATCTAATATCTATCAAAATATAATATAATATAATATAATATAATATAATATAGTAATGTAATTAATATAAAGCTCTCCCAGCCACAACCCAAATGGTTTTAGATGTTGAACAGGCAGGAAAAACACGAGGAATTCTAGAGGAAGGAAAGAACGTGACCCTGGCAGAGAGGACAGAAGGTTCTGTGGGGCTGGGGCTCCGCTTTGGCTTTCCCCCTGCTCAGAAGGGTCGGGGGAGGCTGGAGCAGGGGCGGGGAGGGGAGCGCTCCTTACTCCAGGAAGCTGGTGATGTAGTCCCTGCTGCAGGTGGACCACACGAAGGGGTTGGTCTTCATGGTGATGTGAGCAGCCATCAGCTTGGCCGTCTCCTGCCCCCGCGAGCCGCAGCTGTTGCCGACCCCGTCGTGGTTCATGCCGAACCTGGAAACCACCAGAGCACGCACACACACTTGGGCAAATTGGCTTTCTCCTTCGTTTCTTAAAAAAGCTGCTCCAGCTAATGCTTTGTGCAATTTAACAATCGCTCTCGAGAACACCCAAACTGTTTTAACTGATTTTTTTCACTTATTTAAGTGCCTTGTGCTAGATCATTAATATATCTTATGATTGACAGTCTAATGACGAATTTAACTTCCTTTATGAACTGGAATAAATATTTCTCAAGAAGGAAATCAAGTTTGCAGATTTTTCTTTTCCCCTAAGCCCCAGTTATTGGGAAAATTCATCCAGCTGGGTTTGGACAGGCGTGGATGGTCCACATGAAGGGTTTTCAGGCTGAGAAAAACACCTTCACTCTCCTGTGAAAGTCTAAAAAGTTTAATAAAGGAAGGGTTTTCAGGCTGTGAAAAACACTTTCACTCTCCTGTGACAATTTAAGAAGTTTAATAAAGGACAGTAGTAGACAAAGACAAGTAAAGCAAAAATTATGGGATGTATCTTGGCATTCAGCCAAGAGCACACCATTACCTTTGGGGACACCCCTTAAATACCTTTTCCTTTACATCACCCTGTTGCATATTCATAGATCCTTATGCATAGTAAGCTTTTCCCCCAAACTGGTTTACATATTCCAAGAACTGCTTAGCCTGGCTCCTCCTTGGGTCTGCCTTTTTAGAGCATGCACATTCCTTGGTTATGGTTTTAGTCCTTTATTTATCACCTTGTTTTTGGGCCTTGGTGCTCACTGTCTTCAGTCAGTGAGTGCTGATGGTTGGCAGATCTGTACAGGTGTCCTCGTTATATTTTTATTGGATGTTATCCCATCCCAGCAGGCATTTTATATATATATATATATATATATATATATATCAGCTATTTCACTAAGCTTAATTAACAACAGAAATAATAAACTATATCTTTATAACAAAGTTACTTTAACACCACACATACAGAACCCACTTTAATATTTGGATGAAATATTTAGAAGCCAATATTATACATTAGATGTGTCTATACCAAGCCCTTGGTGGCAGGGACGAGCAGCAGGAGCTGCTGGGGGCTCTCGGGTGCTGCACTCACGTGTGGCCGATCTCGTGGGCGATGGTGAAGGCCGTGGCCAGCCCGATGTCCTCGTTGATGCTGCAGCTCCTCTCCCGCTCACACATCCCACCCACGGGGGCCAGGCCTGGGGAGGGGACAGAGCTGTCACACAGGGCCACCACAGGGTGGCTGAGGGGTCGTGTTTGGGGATTTCCTGATGTGTTTCATGCTCTGTAACACTGAGCAGCTCCTTCTCACCACTGCACTGGGCGTTGGGATGGACTCGTGGCTCTTAGGGGACATGGTCACTGAGCACTGATGGTAAATTAATAGTGACAGGCTCAGAAATGCCAAAATTCCTCTGAATTTTGTATCCAAATGGTGCAAAGGGGAGCAATCCTTGGCACAGCCCTAGTGGGGAATCTCAGCTGGCTGCACCAGCTCTGGAGCATCCAAAGCTGCCCAGGGAGAGCTGAGCAAGCCAGGATCCAACCTTGGTTCTGCCTGGCACCCACCAGCAATCCAGCATGGCTCGTGTGGGGGACTGGGTGATGCTGTAATTCCCTGTGAATTGTGACAGCAAATTCCCTCTGCACTGGGCCAGGGCGTGGCCTGGCTGTGCCAGGAGAATGATTTGAGCCATCCCAGCACGTCCAGCCTCAGCAGCCGGTCAGAGATCCACCAGCTCTCCCCACAGTGATGCAGAGCAGAAATCCCTCCCTGCCTGCCCAGTCCAGACCTGGGTGAGACAAAGGAGGAGCTGCAAGGCTGCGGGGCCTGGCTGTGACAATAAAAACTCCCTTTGCAGCCATCACAAAAATACTGGATTTCTCCCTGCCCAGCCAGGAACTCCAGCAGGCCATGGACAAGCCCAAAATGAGAGTGGCTCTTAATCACCAGGCTGGAGCTGGCCCAGGGGTGGAACAGAGGAGGTCCAGAGTCCAGTCGAGATCAGGGCTGCTGGTTTAGTGTTCACAGAGGGACAGGGGGCTGGAAAGCGCTGGGTTGGTCCTGGCCCTGCTGCTGGGCTGGGGCAGGAGCTGCACCTTCACTGGGAAGGGATGGAACAGCTGGGAAAGGGGAATGGAACAGCTGGGATAGGGATGGAACAGCTGGAAAGGGATGGCACAACTGGAAAGGGATTGCACAAGTGGGAAAGGGGAATAGCACAGCTGGGAAAGGGGAATGGAACAGTTCGGATGGGAATGGCACAACTGGAAAGGGGAATAGCACAGCTGGGAAAGGGGAATGGAACAGCTGGGAAAGGGATGGCACAGGTGGGAATGGGGATGGCACAGGTGGGAAAGAGGAATGGAACAGATGGGATGGGACTGGCACAAATGGAAAGGGGGTAGCACAGGTGGAAAGGGGATGGCACAGGTGGAAAGGGGAATGGAACAGCTGGGAAAGGAATGGCACGGGTGGGATGGGATGGCACAGCTGGGAAAGGGGAATGGAAGAGCTGGGATGGGGATGGCACAGCTGGAAAGGAAATGGCACAGTTGGGATGGGAATGGCACAGGTGGACATGGATGGAACAGGTGGAAAGGCACAGGTGGGAAGGGGGATGGCACAGCCCACCCTCATCACACTGCCAAAGCTCTCTGCTGCTGGGGGCTGCTGAGGGGGGGTCAGATTTCCACTCACCCAGGGTGCCACAGGGCTTGTTCTTGTAGATGCAGATGTCGTACCTGCAAGGAGAGAAGGCGATGACGTTAAGGACATTCTGGTTTTGGTGGTTTTCATTTCACCCATGTGTTCACATCCAAACCACTCCAAACCAGCCCATGAAATATTCTGGGATGAAGATAGCAATGGTGACAGTGAGGACAACACTCACTTTGCCCAGGCTGAGATTCGTTGAGTTTTAGTGACAGAGCTGAGCCAGGTCAGAGGTTTGGTTTTGATGAAATGTGGTGGTAGAGCATGAGCAGGGAAGGGAATGGAGCTGGGGAAGGGTCTGGAGCCCCAGGAGCGGCTGAGGGAGCTGGGAAAGGGGCTCAGCCTGGAGAAAAGGGGGATCAGGGGGGACCTTGTGGCTCTGCACAGCTCCTGACAGGAGGGGACAGCTGGAGGGGTCAGGCTCTGCTCCAGGGAACAGGGACAGGAGAGAAAACAGCCTCAAGCTGTGGCAGGGGAGGTTTAGATCAGATTTTAGGGAAAATTTCTTCATGGAAAGGATTATCAGGCATTGGAACGGGCTGCTCAGGGCAGTGGTGGAGTCACCACTCCTGGAGGTGTTAAAAACATAAGCAGATGTGGCACTTCAGGATGTGGTTTAGTGGGCAAGGGAATTTAGTCAAAGGTTGGAATTGATGATCCTGGAGGCCTTTTTCCAACCTTAATGGTTCCATAAATCAGCAGGGACAAGGTTATTCCAGACCTGGAGCTCTTTGGGTTTGGGTGGGTCCTGCTCTGCTCCCCAGCACTCCTGGGAGGCATCGGGCACAGAGGGAAGAGGACAGGGCCAACCTCTTCTCTGTCAGCTCAGGTCTCTTGCAGGAAATTGTATCAATCCAACAGAGAAACACAGAATGCCAGCATGGTTTGGGTTGGAAAAGACTTTAAAAATCATCTCATTCCACCCCCTGCCATGGCAGGGACACCTTCCACTACCCCAGTGTGCTCCAAACCCTGTCCAGCCTGGCTTTGGACACTGCCAGGGACGGGGGATATGAAATTCTGATGAAAAACAAAATAAAAATAAACACTTCAGTTTGAAAACATGTTCTGTTTCAAACCCCACTGTGGTTTCATGAAAACACTCGAGTGATTTTTTTTATATCTATTTTTTTTCTAGTTCAGTTTTTTACTGAGAATTTTCCAAACAAATCCAGTCTGAGTTGATTCAAGGTGACTCTTCCCTCTGCTCCTGGCCTCGACTTCCAGCCATTGCATGAAGGAATTCTCTGTTTGCACATCATTAGCTGGGTACAAGGAAAGGTAAAAAAAGGAGAGCAAAAACCTCCAGATGGAAATGCAGCATCCTCAAAATGGGAAGAGGTGGCAGCTCCAAAGAACACCAGTTTGGGTTAGAGAGGGAATATTCTCATTTCCTTTCAAAGATAAACATTTGGGCTTTGAAAATCTGGGCTGAAAGGGGCCAGGCTGAGAGCTGGGTAGGGTGGGGTCAGCTGAGTGACCAGGGGCAGCTGGGCTGGGCTGGGCCACCCCAGAGCCAGGTTGGGGTTGCACCAAGGATTGTGACCCCACAGCGGGTTTGGGGACACCCATGGGGCAGGCAGGACCGAGGATTGTGACCCCAGAGCCAGTCTGGGTTCACTCATGGGGTGGGCAGGAATGAGGATTGTGACCCCAGAGAGGGTTTGGGGACACCCACAGGGTGGGCAGGGCCGAGGATTGTGACCCCAGAGTGGGTTTGGGGACACCCACAGGGTGGGCAGGACTGAGGATTGCGACCCCAGAGCAGATTTAGGGACACCCATTGGATGAGGGTTGAGGATTGTAACCCCAGAGATGGTTTGGGGACACCCATGGGGTGAGGGTTGAGGACTATGACCCCAGAGCAGGTTTGGGAACACCCACAGGGTGGGCAGGACCGAGGATTGTGACCCCAGAGCCAGTTTGGGGACACTCATGGGGTGGGCAGGAATGAGGATTGTGACCCCAGACCCCATGGGTTTGGGGTCACCCATGGGGTGAGGATTGTGACCCCACAGCAGGCCTGGGGACACTGGGCAGGACCGAGGATTGTGACCCCAGAGTGGTTTGGGGACACTGGGCAGGAATGTGGATTGTGACCCCACAGCGGGTTTGGGGACACCCTTGGGGTGAGGGTTGAGGATTGTGACCCCAGAGCGGGTCTGGGGATACCCACAGGGTGGGCAGGACTGAGGATTGTGACAGAGCGGATCTGGGGACACCCTTGGGGTGGGAGTGGAGGATTGTGACCCCAGAGTGGGTTTGGGGTCACCCATGGGGTGGGGGTTGAGGATTGTGACCCCACAGTGGGTTTGGGGACACTGGGCAGGACCCTCTGGCACCGCTCCCCCCACTGACCCCCGGGGATGAGGGTGGGCGGTGAGAAGCGTCAGCACACGAAGGGTTAAGTGCGACACATCCCGGGGATGGCTCCTGTCCCTTTGGCCCCTGGCGCTCCCTGGAAGTGCCCAAACCTCTCCCCTCCTCTCGGCAGGAAACCGAGCAGAGCACAAAACATTCGTTGCTTTGTTTTGAGCGAATGCCTTTAAAGCCTTCGGAGGCTCTGCTTTGCCTCGTCCCCGCAGGAGAAAAAAAAAGCCCCGAGCTCAGCAAGATCTTATCGGGACACCGGGAATTTCTGGGGCCGGATGCCGGGCGCTGTCCAGGCTCAGCGAGCGGCTCCGGGCTGGCTCCAACATCTGGAGGGAGGATGGAGAGCTCGGAACCGGCGTTTGCATCCCAAACGTGTGGAGGGAGGGCAGGAAAAAGCTGCAGCCCCCTCGGGAGGGGGAAAATCTGGGGTTGAGGGGTTCTTTTGTCGCTCCTCTGTGGGGTCTCATCCGTGGGGTGATCCAGGCTCGTGCTGGGGCTGGGGCAGGGAGCAGCACATGGAAAAAGGAAGCAGCTCCCGCCTGGAGGCTCCCCCCGCCAGCACTTCCATTTCCTGACTTTCTTCCTCTCCACGGGAGAGGGGGAAAAGGCACAAAATAATGTTGGGTTTGCCTTTGGCCTCTCCCAGTTTTATCTCTGTCCAAGCAGGGATTTGTGGGGACTGGAGGGACAAACCTGGGCACAGCACCTGGGGAGCTCAGCACTCCCTGTGCCCTCCATCCCTGCAGCATCCACTGGCCTTCCAGCTGCTCTGCCATTCCTTCCATTGTCCCTGTCATCCTCTGTGTGTCCTCCTTCCTTCTGACCATCATCCATCAATCCATCCATCCATCATCCATCCATCCATCATCCATCCATCCATCCATCATCCATCCATCATCCATCCATCCATCATCCATCCATCATCCATCCATCCATCCTTCCATCCATCCATCCATCCATCCATCCATCCATCCATCCATCCATCCATCATCCATCCATCATCCATCCATCCCAGCAAAGACTGAGAGAGAACTGGAGGGTGATAACAAACTGGGATGGAGATTGATACCAGACTGAACTGGAGATTGATAAAGACTGAACTGGAGATTGATAACAGACTGAATTGGAGATTGATAACAGACTAACTGGAGATTGATAACAGACTAACTGGAGATTGATAACAGACCGGCGTGCAGGGTGATAGGCTGACCTGGAGGGTGATAATCTGAATTCAATAATCTGCACCCATGGAGACTCAGGAAGCCTTGGACAAGCTTGGAGCCAGGAGAGCTGCCAGCCCAGGGGACAGGGCTCACCTGGTGATCAGCACGGCGGTGTCGTGGTTGGCGATGCCGTTCTCCGGGATGGCGTTCCCGTTGCCGTTCCTGTTGACGATGGATTTCTGCCACTTGCAGAAGCTGTCCAGGGATTTCCCAGCGTGGTGGTTGATCTCCAGCGTGGGCTGGAAAGGAAGCAATGGCAGAGTGTGTTCCCAGGTGTTGGAACTCAAAATGTCCCTCAGACATTTTTGGATGTTCCAGGTCCAGGTCAGAAGCATTTGAGACCCTGGCAGGCAGCTGGAAACAGCTGTGATTTTGGGTTTGAAACATGGAACGATTTACCAACCTTGCAGGAAGAACAAGAAGTCACAAATGTTTAGATATTAGAGTAGAAGTAGTCACAAAGTAGAGGGAAGAATTTTTGAGTGCTGTACAAGGGGGTTTTAGTTTTGTACATGGGGGTCAGAAGTATTAGGATGGAGGGATTTGGGCCTGCCCTGTCCTCCCTCTTTCTTCTTCCTTACCTCCATGTTCTTGGTGATGTTGGCACTCACAGATTGGTTTAGAGTAGAAAATCACCATTTAATATAGGTAATAGGCATTGGGGAAAACTGTAACCATGTAACACGTAATGTACCATATAAAAGATAGAAAATCACCATTTAATATAGGTAATAGGCATTGGGAAAAACTGTAACCATGTCACACGTAATGTACCATATAAAAGATAGAAAAGCACCATTTAATATAGGTAATAGACATTGGGGAAAAACTGTAACCATGTCACACATAATGTACCATATAAAAGACAGCAGCAGCTCTGGCGGGGAGAGAAGAAGCCGTCGGGGTCAGAGAGGATGTCAGGGGGTGTGTGTGCCTCTGCCTGAGCTGTGAGCAAACCACAGCAGCCCCAGAAGAAAATCTTTTAGATAACTCACAATAAACTGCCTTGAGACCGAACAACAGAGGCTGCTGAGCCTTTTTTTGAAGGCACGGGTTGGAGGAGAGATTTTTCCACCACACGGAGCCACCCTTGACCTAGGGTGAGCTCCAGCACCCAGGAAAGCTCTGATGGGAAGGCACTGCTCACTCTGTGCCAGCAGAGCACTGCCACCACTCCAGGCACCCCCAGTTCCTCATGGAGCCCATGGGAAAGCAAGAAAAATGGGATTTTGTCGAGTCTTAACTTCTTTTTGCCAGGGTTGGGATTAAGTGTGTGAGACATCATTTCTTGTTAGGACTCAGATGTTTGTTCTTATCTGTCACAGTCTCACAAAACCTGGGTCCTACAGCACTTCACTCTAACAAACTAAAAATGGAGCCCCATCTCTCTCTCTCAAGGTCTTTTAAGGATAAACTGTCCAATTAAGAAATTACACATAAATTATTTTTACTCTTAACCCAATAATCAGTCACCTGTGGCTCATAATGTGGACTTTTTTATCCAGTTACACAAAACCACCCAAACCCATGGAGAAGAAGGTGGAGAAGGAGAAGGAGAAGGAGAAGGAGAAGGAGAAGGAGAAGGAGAAGGAGAAGGAGAAGGAGAAGGAGAAGGAGAAGGAGAAGGAGGACCAGCCTCTGCCCTAAAACTTCAATCTTGCTTTATATCTATTACTATGTTCTAAACCCTTCAACTCTGAGTTTCCCACCCTGTGATATTCCACACTTCAATTCAAACTCCACCCCCACAATCCCAGTTCTGTCATTCCATTTTGGAAGCTTCTCCACGGCCTCAGGTCAATGCAGTGTTCTCCTGTCAGTGTCTGTCAGCACAGAAAGGCTGAAATTCTCAGTGACCAGGGTTCCAACATCACTGTAGGAGAACTAAAGCTGCTTAAACCTCCCTAAAATCACCTTATCATGGCAAAAATACAGATTTCCAGAGGTCTGCTCAGCCCAGTCCTCAGGGGAGGATGTGCACTGGGGGGAATTCCTGGGAGTGACATCCAGGGGGGGTCACACAGCTCCTGAAGGGAAGTGCAGGCACAGGACAGGCTCAGCAAAGCCCAGCTTACCTGGTCCTCGGTGAGCAGGATCAGCCGGGTGACCAGGATATTGACAATATTGCCCAGACTCGAGTCCTGGAAAAGTTTGGCAACCTGACCTCCAAGAAACAAGAAAAGAGGAGTCTTAAAAATGAGCTCGGTGGCCAGGCGAGCTGGGGAGGGCTGGGCACTGCAGTGGGGGGTGTGAACCCAACATTTTTGGGAAGCAGGGATGGGAATGGGACCCCACACCACCATTGAGTAGCAGAATCCCCTGAAGCACGGTCCGAGCTCGCTGTCTCAGAGCAGGGAAGCCAAAATCTCCCAGCCCAGGCGGGGCAGTCCCCACTGCTGGCATTCCCTGCAGCACAGGGCTGGAGCTGGGCTGAGGGGAGGGCACAGCATCCCTCGGGGGATCTGGAAGGCCACAGCATCCCCCAGGAATGTTTCGGAGCAGATGAAACACCGGGATTGTTTGAAAAGCTGGCGGTCTGGCTTTAGAAATGCAAAGCATGGAAAGCGATCCTGGGGAGGACGGGACAAAGAGCCGTCTCAGAGGGGTTGCAGAGGGTTGATGGATAACTTCCAAGCCCATCTCACCTCACAGGAGGATCCAGCTCGGCCAATTCAGGCTGTTCACGGAGCCAGCAGTGCCCCAAAGCAGAACCACAGCTCGGGGGGATTTCTGAGCCCCTCTCTCTGCTCAGCCCCCAAGCGTGAGAGCTGCCTGTCCTTATGCTTTCCCATGTGTTTCTCAGCTTGCCCGGCAGCATTTGCAATGCTAATTTGAGCTGGGAGATGCTGTTCAGAGAAAGGCTTTTGTTCTCCCAGCCCGGGGTCAGACAGGCCAGAGTTTACCTCTCCAGGCTTCGGGGTCCCAGGGATCAGCGGCAGCAGCCTGGCAGGATTTTTGACCCCAAAACCTTGCTCTGAGCATGGGGAGAAGCCACTGCCAGCCTGGAACAGATCCAATTTCCCCATCCTGCTTCATGCAGGAAAATCTCCTCTTCCCAACACGGATTTTTGGGGTTGGGAGGAATGACAGATTTATCTTTACAAACTATGGGGCTTCTGGTAGATAAAACCAGCACTGAGAGATAAAAGAAACAATGGGAAGGATTCCACTGATTGATGAATGGAAAAGGATATTTACCTTTACAAACAAACCCTAAGTTTGCTGATAAATGAAATTGGATATTGAAAGATGAAAGAAACAATGGGGGAAACCCCTAAATTGCATACGAATTAAAAATTAAAATGCAGGGTTATACATTAGAGGGAAATCTCTGGTATCAGGCGTTCCAGGAAGTCTGAACCTCTCAAGTACCTCAGCCAATGGGGAAAGAGAGAGGGAAATTGGGATATAAAGGAGGCTGCATCCTCCAAAAATTGGAGAGACCCCAGGGGAACGCCCTATGGCCTCTCCCTTTATTCAAATAAAGAAGAAGGACTCCTCTGTCTCCTCTGATATTTGGGGGTTAATTTTCCTGCCAGAGTGCCGAGCAGGAATTCTCCCCCATCCCGCGGGGTTCCTGGTGTGGGTGTAACACTTACAATATTCATGATGGCCAGGATGTATTGCTCGATGTCCCTGCGGCCGTGGTAGCCCACCATCATCTTGTCAGCCACCACCAGGGTCTCCACGTAGCGCTCGGTGCTCACCGACCTCTTCAGGGGCAGCTGGCCCCGCTGGCTGTGGTTGCCCGAAGGCTTCAGAGGGGAGGGTTTCAGCGTCCTCAGCCACCAGTGCCTCCCCTTCCAGGGCTTCTCGTCTGAGGAGGGAAGGGGATGAAGGGGATGGGTGTGATGCCCTCAGGCAGGGCTGAGGGGAGGGTTTGAGGCCATGGAAGAGCTCTTAAGCTGCACCAGGGGAAGTTTGGGCAGGATGCCAGAAAGGAATTCTTCACTGAAAGAGTTCACTGGGCAATGGAATCGTCTGCCCAGGGAGGTGGTGGAGTCACGGATGCTGGAGGGGTTTAAAAAAGCCTGGAGGTGGCACTCAGTGCCAGGGTTTAGCTGGTGAGGAGGTGTTGGGTCACAGGGTGGACTGGGTGATCCTAAAGGTCTTTTCCAGCCTCGTTCATTCTGTGATTCCGTGATTTGTGCACCACAGGTGGACCCAGAAATGTCCCAAGGGCAGTCCAGGGCTGTCCCCAGACTCCTGCCAGCCCTGCTGGCCTCTCCTCTGTCCTTCTGTCCCCTCCTGCCCAGCAGATCTGTGCCAAACCCTCAGTCCCAAACCCCTCTGGGCTGCACAGCCCTGCCCTCACCTCTGCCCCGGGGTGGGCTCAGAGACTGCACAGCCACCACCTGAAAATGAAGCCCTTGCAGAGCCTTTCCTCCCTCCTTTTCCTGCCAGGACCTGCATGTAGGACTTGGCTCTTCCACCACAGAAAGGGCTGCAGTCTCTGCTGCAGCAGCAGCTTCGTGGGACTTTGCTTCAAGTGCTGCTGAGCCGAGCCTGGGGATGTCCCCAGCAGAGCCATCAGCTCCAAATTCCCCACCTGGAGACCACCAGAGGACAGGGGAGCTGACTGGGACACTCCAGCCCTGCCAGCAGGCCCTGCTCTGAGGTTCATCACACCCAGGCAGCCCCAAAAGCTCCCAGCTCCAGCTCCTGCAGGGATCCAGGGGAGCTCCTGGGCGTGTTCAGGGCCCAGGAGTGCTGGGCAGGGCAGGGCAAGGGTGGCCTTGCTGGAGCCATTGTGCTGTGGTTGCTCTAAACTTTGGCTCCCCCTGCACATCTCTGCTTTCCAAGAAACAATTAGGACAATTAGGAGCGGGCTAAATTATTTCTGGAAGCTGGGGAATGTGGCAAAGAGTCAGCAGGAGGGGAGTCTGCATCCAGCGTGGCTTCAGGAGCTGGGATGGGCAGGGAAGCACAGGGTGGCTCCAGAGGTGCTGGTGGCTCTGGGACACTCAGAGAAGGTGGCAGTGCCTTCCATCTGGCCAAGTGTCACTGCTGGGGTGGTGGATGGACACCCTGAAGTGACACCCAAACAGGAGCAGTCAGGGCCAGCTTTGCTCTGTTCCCACCAACGGATCCAGGAAAAGCTCTTGTGCAGGGATGGCATCTCCCCTCAGCCCTGCAGAGCCTCTCTGAACTGAGGGAGGGGCATCCTTCAACATTTTGGGTAGATGCTGAAACTCTGCCTGTTCACAAGGGCCAGGGATTCTAGCCAGACTCTGGGACAGACTGGTGGGAAGGGCAAGGACCAGGAGGTCTCATGGGGAGTGGCCAGGGCAGAGGTTTGTGGTTCCTCTTGGAGGTCAAAGCCCTGTAGGTGCAGGAATGGGGCTGATGTGCTGTCACATTCACCCTAAACATCCCCCTGTGGTGGGCCAGGCCCCACATCCCCCCCTCCAAGGGCCTTTTCCACCTGGTCCCCACCAGCAGCAGAGTTATCCCAACATGGACATGACCAAACCCCAGAGCCAAGGCTGTGCTGAGCACACGTGAGCTGTGATTTCCCAATTCTCTGCAAACTGGCCAAATTTGGGAGCATTCTTCTGAAGAAAAACAAGAGGTGTTTTTTTTTTCTCTCCTATTCCATGCTCTATTTACAAATTTTCAAGCCCTGCTGCGAGGAGGGGAGGACGGGAGCTTCCCACAGCCCGGGCCACCAGAAATGGGTGAAAGCAAACCCAGGAAAATCTCAAATTCAGGAGATAAGTTTGGTTCTTTGCCACGTGGAGCAGAGTGGGCCTGTTCTGCCAGGATTTTCCCAGCGGGTTTTGGGCAGGATTTGAGGAGGAGGTGGTGGGAGCACCTACCCATCACTCCACAGGCTGCATCCATGTGAGGGTACTGCAGGGACGAGCGCTTGTACACCACGTGGGGGCTGCCCTTGCCCTCTCCCCCCGTGCTGACGTTGGCTCCGGGGCTCAGGGGCTCGATGAAATATTCCTCCTCATCCGCCACGATCACCCCGTGCTGCAGGAGGGAACAGAGGGTGTGGAAGAGCTTTTACAACGACTTCTGTGAGCCAGAGAGGAGTTTGAGAAGAAGATCCATGTTTACCCCTGATAGAATTTTCTACCAAGGTCATTGACAGAGAAACCAAGAAAGAAAGAAGGATAAATAAGAGAAACCTGCAGCTGTCTATTCCAATAAACATTTTGTTTGTCTCATCACCAATGAGTAAAGTGTAAACTTATGAGCTTTGTAAGAATGTATAAAAAGCATGCATGCTGTAATAAAAACAGGTTTGAAGCCTTCTGAAAATGGAGTGTTTTGCTTTGTACTGTCTCTGTCTCCACCATGACAAGAGGGGGGACAATAACAGAGGTGCACAGACAACCTGATGGCCTCTCATGGTGAGGTTTTTGCTGATTAACCTGAATTTCTGGGGATTGACAAAAGCTGTGGAGGAATCCTGCACAAACACTGAACTACAGGAAGCCACAGAGCGGAGAAAACCCAGCCAGATGGTGGTGGATGCCTTGGGACATCTGTGTTCACTAAAGTCCTCTGGAAATCACAGCCTTGCCTTGCTGAGTTATGAATGAGTTGTTTCCTATTCCACCCACTCGGTCTCAGTGGGATCCCTGTGGGATCCCAAAAACCCGTTCAAACACAGCAGCACTCAGCTCTGAACTTGGCCTCCCCAAAAAACCTTCCCAAGCAGCTCAGGACCATCTCCAGCAGCTGAGAGCTTGGACCTGCAGAGTGGTAAATACCCAGAGGCTTTGGGAAACACCCCAAATGTTTAAAATCTGGAGGCTGATTAAGCAGAGGCCACCAGCAGTGCCAAAACCCTTCTCTGGAGCCTGGATGGGGCAGCCCAGCCCCTTGTACACCTCAGTGAGATCACCTCAGGTTTGCTCCCTGATTTTAGTTTTTTATTCTTTGACTGACTCGGTCTCAGCTGTGAGCCCAGGCTTTGCTGTCCTGTGAGGCAGTGACAGCCAGGAGGAGCAGATCCTGCAGGTGATCACCAAACCCACCAGGTACTTGCAAGGTCCCTCCTCCTCACCCTCACAGCAACTTTCCCTGAAGGGTCTGAGCAGCACCAAAAGTTTCTGGGAGCCCAAGACCAGCTCCATCCCGATTCCTGGCACTGAGTTTCTCCAAGGAATGTGCTGTCCACATCAAGGATTGTGGTTCCTGGGTCCCTCCAGGCACTCCTGTTCATGCTGGGCTCAGGGGGCTCCTCAGGAAAGCTGTCCCTGGATCCCTGGAAGTGTCCAAGGCTGGGCTGGATAGAGCTTGGATCACCCTGGGACAGTGGGAGGTGTCCCTGCCCATGGAGACCAGCTCCATCCCAATTCCTGGCACTGAGTTTCTCCAAGGAACGTGGTGTCCCATCAGCTGAACTCCACCAGCAAGCAACTGAGGCACAGAAATGTGCCTGACACGGCTCAAACATCATCCCCAAAGTCCAGCACAGCTCTGGGTGCAGGCACAGCCCTGCCCTGCCACCAGCAGCGTGCCTTGGATGTGACAGCGCTTTTCCAGCTCCCTCTGTGCCCCAGGGATGGGAGCAAGGGTGGGGAGCAGGGAATTCTGCCCCTGTGAAACACCCCGAGGCCCCTCCATGGAAGTACCCCCTGGAACAGCTCCTGTGCCGGGTGTGGGTGGGGAGAACCTCTCGGGGTGTCACTCCCTGCCGGGCTGTCCCTGTCCCCTCCCCGGCTGGAGCTCAATCGGGGCAGTGTGTGAGCAGTCCCCCCGTGCCGGGGGATTTCCTCCTGCCCCGGGCTCTGCTGCTCTTGGCTGGGCTCCACCTTTTCAAACACAAGCGAGGTACTGTGAGGTTCCCTGGCCAGGCTCCGGCAGGGCCAGCTGGAAAGGCTTTGTGGGATGGGGGGAAGGAGGTCACCCGGAGTCCTGCCCCACATCCATCCCGCTGCAAAAGGAATGTTCTCACTGCAGCCTCTGCAGAGGCTCCATGCCTGCCTGGCACCTTCCAGCAGCGAGGTTTGGATGTCACAGGAGTCTGAAAATTGTCCCATCGCTGACCCCAAGGGACTGAGCTCTGAGGGCCAGGCATGGACGTGACACAGGGCTGGTAAAGGGGGTGGTGAGAGGTCCTGAGGGAGCTCTGTGGTTTGTGGGGGAGCTGGACTGCATATCCTGTGTGTGATTCACACAGGTCAGCTGCAGAGCAGGAGGGTTTGCACTGTCAGCTCATACTGCACTTGGCAAAGGCACAGCCACAGCCTGGGACCAG